TTTGCCCCCCCCCCCCCGCTGTTTTATAGAGGTAATGACTAATTAGTGAATTCTTTTGGCAATCAGGATGTGTGAATTTTCTTGACAGTGAAATTGGTAGTTTAACCCCTCGCCTGCCGTACATTTATACCCCCCTCCCTGCCCAGGCCAAGTTTATTTAACAGCCCTTACCTGGGAAAATATTGGCCCTCCCTGTATTTGGGGGGACATCAACTGTTTCTGAGAGTCGGGGAGCTCTGCTACATTTTTGGCACCCAACGTGGGGCTCAATGGAATTTGGATTGCCATTGTTCTTGGCTACCAATAGGCATATCTGGACTTTCCCACATGAAAGAAAAATACATTTTAAGTATAGTTAAAAAATATTCTTCCCAAATATATTGACATATATTTTAAATACTACAATTTCGGCCGTATTCAATATATTTCAAAATATATTTAAATAAATATATATATAGAGAGAGAGAGATAAAAAATTAAAAAAAATATATATACACACACACACACACATATATATATATATATATATATATGCCGTATATTTCACTCCATAAGACGCACTCTTTTCCCCCAAAAAAGGGGGGAAAATGTCAGTGCATCTTATGGAGGTATTTCTGCCGCCATCATGTCAGAATATTGGGCCGGCCGCTCAGCTCTTCTCTCCTGCAGGGCCTCACCTGTTCCTCGCTCCAGCGCTGCAGTCCTCCCGCGGCGGCTTCTGTGACAGCCGGGTGCCCACTGCGCATGCGCGAGAAGGACACATGACAGGTCCCAGAAGGCTCCAGGCCATTCACAAAGCGCAGCGCTTCTCGTGCATGTGCAGTGGGCACCCGGCTGTCACAGAAGCTGTCGCAGGAAGAAAAAGGAAGGATAACTCCGTGGAAGTGGGAGTGGGTACCTGTCAAATTCAGGTACCCGCTCCCCCTCCCTCCCCAAAGGTCCGAAGTCTCTAGTAATCTCCTTTACTGTCTGCAGTCTCTGGTCATCTCCTGTACTGTGTCCGCAGTCTCTGGTCATCTCCTGTACTGTGTCCGCAGTCTCTGGTCATCTCCTGTACTGTGTCTGCAGTCTCTGGTCATCTCCTGTACCGTGTCCGCAGTCCCGGTCATCTCCTGTACTTTGTCCGCAGTCTCTGGTCATCTCCTGTACTGTCCGCAGTCTCTGGTCATCTCCTGTACTATGTCCGCAGTCTCTGGTCATCTCCTGTACTATGTTTTCAGTCTCTGGTCATCTCCTGTACTATGTCCGCAGTCTCTGGTCATCTCCTGTACTGTGTCCGCAGTCTCTGGTCATCTCCTGTACTGTGTCCGCAGTCTCTGGTCATCTCCTGTACTGTGTCCGCAGTCTCCGGTCATCTCCTGTACTGTGTCTGCAGTCTCCGGTCATCTCCTGTACTATGTCCGCAGTCTCTGGTCATCTCCTGTACTATGTCCGCAGTCTCTGGTCATCTCCTGTACTATGTCCGCAGTCTCTGGTCATCTCCTGTACTATGTCCGCAGTCTCTGGTCATCTCCTGTACTGTGTCCGCAGTCTCTGGTCATCTCCTGTACTGTGTCCGCAGTCTCTGGTCATCTCCTGTACTGTCCGCAGTCTCTGGTCATCTCCTGTACTGTGTCCGCAGTCTCTGGTCAACTCCTGTACTGTGTCCGCAGTCTCTGGTCATCTCCTGTACTATGTCCGCAGTCTCCGGTCATCTCCTGTACTGTGTCCGCAGTCTCTGGCCATCTCCTGTACTATGTCCGCAGTCTCTGGTCATCTCCTGTACTGTGTCCGCAGTCTCTGGTCATCTCCTGTACTGTGTCCGCAGTCTCCGGTCATCTCCTGCACTGTGTCTGCAGTCTCCGGTCATCTCCTGCACTGTGTCTGCAGTCTCTGGTCATCTCCTGTACTATGTCTGCAGTCTCTGGTCATCCCCTGTACTGTCCGCAGTCTCTGGTCATCTCCTGTACTGTCCGCAGTCTCTGGTCATCCCCTGTACTATGTCCGCAGTCTCTGGTCATCCCCTGTACGGTGTCCGCAGTCTCTGGTCATCTCCTGTACTATGTCTGCAGTCTCTGGTCATCTCCTGTACTATGTCCGCAGTCTCTGGTCATCTCCTGTACTGTGTCCGCAGTCTCTGGTCATCTCCTGTACTGTGTCCGCAGTCTCTGGTCATCTCCTGTACTGTGTCTGCAGTCTCTGGTCATCTCCTGTACTATGTCTGCAGTCTCTGGTCATCCCCTGTACTGTCCGCAGTCTCTGGTCATCCCCTGTACTATGTCCGCAGTCTCTGGTCATCCCCTGTACTGTGTCCGCAGTCTCTGGTCATCTCCTGTACTATGTCTGCAGTCTCTGACCATCTCCTGTACTGTGTCCGCAGTCTCTGGTCATCTCCTGTACTGTGTCCGCAGTCTCTGGTCATCTCCTGTACTGTGTCTGCAGTCTCTGGTCATCTCCTGTACTGTGTCCGCAGTCTCTGGTCATCTCCTGTACTATGTCCGCAGTCTCCGCTCATCTCCTGTACTGTGTCTGCAGTCTCTGGTCATCTCCTGTACTGTGTCCGCAGTCTCTGGTCATCTCCTGTACTATGTCCGCAGTCTCTGGTCATCCCCTGTACTATGTCTGCAGTCCATTGGTTCAGAATATTTTTTGTTCTTGTTTTTCTCCTCTAAAACCTAGGTGCGTCTTATGGAGCGAAAAAATACGGTGTATATATATACACTGTGTGACGGGAGTGACTTTTGGGGGTGGGGGGACCGCTTGGTCAGCTCATGTCCCCCTCATTATGTTTAACCCACCCTATGCCTGTTAAGGGGTACAGGGTGTGAATGTGAATGTCCCAGTATTGTGTATAGTGTGGGTTCCTTTGTCCCTGCCATGTGCTCCCCCCCATGGTGCTGTGTCTCCCTGTCCAGCCAACTATTATGGGATGTACTGTTTGTGTATTGGTGTGGGGGTTGGTCAATGTCCTTTGCCACATGGTTGCATCCCATTGTTCTGTGTCTGGTTGGATGGGGAGGGGTGATGAGGTTTTCCTGCCTATACTGTAGCCCTTCCCACTGAGAGGGTGGGCTGATGATGTGTTTTCCTGTCCCTGGTTGTCTTTCCCCGCCCTCTGTATAAAACATGTTGTTTTGTGTTCAATAAAAGTAGTTGGCTTCCTGTTTTAGTAAGAGCTGGGTGTTGTCTATTTTCCTGAGGGATTCCAAGGGCGTGGTCCGTGGACGGTGTTCGGACAGGGGAAGTTGTGCTATAACGGAAAAAACTCAGTGCGGTCTGGGTTCCGGTTCCGTTACTGTATGTTGAAATGCGTTTTTATTACAAAATATATGAAAAAAATATTTTTCAAAATACATTTTCAAATATACTGTATGTCTTTAAAAATGCATTTACTCTACATTGTTGGAACGCATTTACAAATATATGTTAAAATGACTTTTTTACATGTGACAGAAAACCTGAAGAATATATTTACAAACTATATTTTTAAATACCTTTTAGAAAATATATTTAAATTTAATTTTCTTAGAATTCATGTTAAAATATATTAGCGACGTAGGCCAATATATTGTAAATATATGTCAAATGTATAATTATTCTTCTAAATATATTGGAAATATAATTATCTTCCATGTGGGAACAGCCTGCGATGCCTCATTTTAGATTTTATACCTAAAAGGTAAGTACATCGGGTTTACACGCTGACTGAAAATGTATGTACTCCATGATAATAAACGTTGCCCTCCTTTAAGGGCCAATTCACACTCCATGCGTTTCAGTTGCTTTTTTTTCTGCATCCAAAACGCACAGAGAGTCGGTGATAAGGTTGTCAGTGTCATAGTTCACATCAGTGCTTGCAGTTCCAGTGCGTTCCAGCTGCAGGAAAAAAAAGTAGAACAGGCGGCGTTTTTCCTACACAGCTCAAATATATTTTGTAATATATAAAAAACGCATTTCAACATACAATATATATTTTTAAATATATTCTTCAGATTTGTTTTTAACATTAAAAAAGCAATTTTAACATATATTTTTACCTATATTTGTAAAAGCATTCCAAAAATGTAGATTTGTGTTTTTAAAGACATACAGTATATTTTTGAAATAAAAAAGCATGTCAACACGCAGTATATATATATTCATATATATATTTATATTTTTTGAAATATATTTTGAGATATATTGAATATGGCCAAAATTGTAGTATGTCAATATATTTGGGAAGAATATTTTTAAAATATATTTCAAATATATTTTTCTTCCATGTGGGTTCACATTGACACTTCGGGGACTGTTACATCTAAAAGCCTTAGAGACAGTGATCCTATTGCTTTTGTACCATCAACTGGGGAAGAACTCATTTTATTTTTTGGGAGAAGAACCAATTTTTTGGGGGGGAGAGTTCACCCCTGGCCGTTGTCATTTTACTGGGCGGTGAAAGGGTTCAAATGCAATGTCTCCAGCACTGACCGTGTAAGCTAGGAGCAGAGAGAGAAGAGTGACCAAGAAAGAAAGTGGGAGGAGCTGCCATGCCCAATTCTGCCAAAATCACTTTGCTTATCCCTCATCCTTTTCATCGGGGGCAGTAAAAAATATGATGGGGCGCTATTCCTCCCACTGACACCAATGATGGGGCACTATTCCTCCCACTGATACCAATGATGGGGTACTATTCCTCCCACTGACACCAATGATGGGGCACTATTCCTCCCACTGATACCAATGATGGGGCACTATTCCTCCCACTGATACCAATGATGGGGTACTATTCCTCCCACTGACACCAATGATGGGGCACTATTCCTCCCACTGATACCAATGATGGGGCACTATTCCTCCCACTGATACCAATGATGGGGTACTATTCCTCCCACTGACACCAATGATGGGGCACTATTCCTCCCACTGACACCAATGATGGGGCACTATTCCTCCCACTGACACCAATGATGGGGCACTATTCCTCCCACTGACACCAATGATGGGGAACTATTCCTCCCACTGATACCAATGATGGGGCACTATTCCTCCCACTGACACCAATGATGGGGCACTATTCCTCCCACTGATACCAATGGTGGGGGACACTATTCCTCCCACTGATACCAATGATGGGGCACTATTCCTCCTACTGACACCAATGATGGGGCACTATTCCTCCCACTGACACCAATGATGGGGCACTATTCCTCCCACTGACACCAATGATGGGGCACTATTACTCCCACTGACACCAATGATGGGGCACTATTACTCCCACTGACACCAATGATGGGACACTTTTCCTCCCACTGATTCCAATGATGGGGCACTATTCCTCCCACTGACACCAATGATGGGGCACTATTACTCCCACTGACACCAATGATGGGACACTTTTCCTCCCACTGATTCCAATGATGGGGCACTATTCCTCCTGCTGACACCAATGATGGGGCACTATTCCTTCCACTGATAACAATGATGGGGCACTATTCCTCCCACTGACACCAATGATGGGGCACTATTCCTCCCACTGATACCAATGATGGGGCACTATTCCTCCCACTGACACCAATGATGTAATTTTTTTTTTACTTCCACTGACCACCAAGTCTATGGCACTGTTTACTACCACCTATGCAAGAGCATGATGAGGCACTATTCCTCTTATCAGTCCATCCCCCACAGTTATTACGTCTTGTGCCACCAGCCCCTCCCTCTTAGATTGTAAGCTCCCAGGGCCCTCATAACCCTCTTGTATTGAACTGTATTGTCTCCCTTTATATTGTAAAGTGCTGAGCAAACTGTTGGCACTATATACATCCTGTATAATAAGAATAATAATGACGTCTTCAGAGGATAAAGAGATCTCTGTTGCACCAGCCGAAAGGAGTGTTGCACTCCTACAAGCTTTAACCAGTGCTCTGCTGGACACTGATAGAAGTCACAAGACTGCTATATACTGCTGATGAGAAAAGGGATTTAGCAGTTTCTATTACTAAAATAATTGCATTTCCACTGTGGGAGAGTGGATATAGTGAATGCAGGGTCCGAGGAGAGCGGATATAGTGAATGCGGGGTCAGGGGAGAGCGGATATAGTGAATGCTGGGTCCGGGGAGAGCGGATATAGTGAATGTGGGGTCCGGGGAGAGCGGATATAGTGAATGTGGGGTCCGGGGAGAGCAGATATAGTGAATGCAGGGTCCGGGGAGAGCGGATATAGTGAATGTGGGGTCCGGGGAGAGCGGATATAGTGAATGCTGGGTCCGGGGAGAGCGGATATAGTGAATGCAGGGTCCGGGGAGAGCAGATATAGTGAATGCGGGGTCCGGGGAGAGCAGATATAGTGAATGCGGGGTTCGGGGAGAGCGGATATAGTGAATGCAGGGTCCGGGGAGAGCAGATATAGTGAATGCGGGGTCTGGGGAGACCAGATATAGTGAATGCAGGGTCCGGGGAGAGCGGATATAGTGAATGCAGGGTCCGGGGAGAGCAGATATAGTGAATGCAGGGTCCGGGGAGAGCGGATATAGTGAATGCAGGGTCCAGGGAGACCAGATATAGTGAATGCGGGGTCCGGGGAGAGCGGATATAGTGAATGCAGAGTCCAGGGAGAGCGGATTTAGTGAATGCAGGGCCCGGGGAGACCGGATATAATGAATGCAGGGTCCGGGGAGAGCGGATATAGTGAATGCAGGGTCCAGGGAGAGCAGATATAGTGAATGCGGGGTCCGGGGAGAGCAGATATAGTGAATGCAGGGTCCGGGGGAGAGCAGATATAGTGAATGCGGGGTCTGGGGAGAGCAGATATAGTGAATGCAGGGTCTGGGGAGAGCAGATATAGTGAATGCAGGGTCTGAGGAGACCAGATATAGTGAATGCAGGGTCCGGGGAGACCGAATATAGTGAATGCAGGGTCCGGGGAGAGCGGATATAGTGAATGCAGGGTCCAGGGAGACCGGATAAAGCGAATGCAGGTTCTAGGGAGAGTGGATAAAGCGAATGTAGGGTCTAGGGAGAGTGGATAAAGCGAATGTAGGGTCTAGGGAGAGTGGATATAGTGAATGCAGGGTCCGGGGAGAGCGGATATAGTGAATGCAGGATCCGGGGAGAGCGGATATAGTGAATGCAGGGTCCGGGGAGAGCGGATATAATGAATGCAGGGTCCGGGGAGAGCGGATATAGTGAATGCAGGGTCCGGGGAGAGCGGATATAGTGAATGCAGGGTCCGGGGAGACCGGATATAGTGAATGCAGGGTCCGGGGAGACCAGATATAGTGAATGCAGGGTCCAGGGAGACCAGATATAGTGAATGCAGGGTCCAGGGAGAGCGGATATAGTGAATGCAGGGTCTGCGGAGACCAGATATAGTGAATGCGGGGTCCGGGGAGAGCGGATATAGTGAATGCGGGGTCCGGGGAGAGCAGATATAGTGAATGCGGGGTCCGGGGAGAGCAGATATAGTGAATGCGGGGTCCGCGGAGAGCGGATATAGTGAATGCAGGGTCCGGGGAGAGCGGATATAGTGAATGCAGGGTCCGGGGAGAGCGGATATAGTGAATGCAGGGTCCGGGGAGAGCGGATATAGTGAATGCGGGGTCCGGGGAGACCGGATATAGTGAATGCAGGGTCTGGGGAGAGCGGATATAGTGAATGCGGGGTCCGGGGAGAGCGGATATAGTGAATGCAGGGTCCGGGGAGAGCGGATATAGTGAATGCAGGGTCCGGGGAGACCGGATATAGTGAATGCAGAGTCCAGGGAGAGCGGATATAGTGAATGCGGGGTCCGGGGAGAGCGGATATAGTGAATGCAGGGTCCGGGGAGACCGGATATAGTGAATGCAGGGTCCGGGGAGACCAGATATAGTGAATGCAGGGTCCGGGGAGAGCGGATATAGTGAATGCAGGGTCTGGGGAGACCAGATATAGTGAATGCGGGGTCCGGGGAGAGCAGATATAGTGAATGCGGGGTCCGGGGAGAGCGGATATAGTGAATGCAGGGTCCGGGGAGAGCGGATATAGTGAATGCAGGGTCCGGGGTTTAGTAACACTTGAATTGATAGTACATTAAATATATTGCAATTTTTCTTGAATTTTTCTTTTTGCATTTCCTAGCATAAAGAAAAAAAGTTTCCTGTTCTTCCTCATACATAAGCCTATAGCCAATCACTGACACGGGTAATAAACTTTAGGACAGTAAATTATGATTTTTCACACAAACTTTATGACAGCAAATTTCTGGCCGTTTATTGCCATATTGCTTTTTGTTTTTCATTTTATAACAGGCAAATGCTGTGAATTAGAAAATAGCAATAATTTTACCACAGAAACAAAATATTTGATTCAGACAGCCAATATGAAATCAGCCAAAAGGTTTGGCAACAGGAAGGAGCAGGGCAGGTTTGAGAAAAATGATTTCACCCTAATTTAACAATTTTCCTAATTGGGCTGCTTAGGCGATTTTTTTTTTTTTTTTTGGGAAGGGGGTGGGATTTACACTTTTCTGCACTTTTTGAAAAGTTTTTATTTTTACAGAGTTTATTTAGGATAATTGAGTTTATTTCATAGGTATTTCTTTTTTTCTTTTTTATGTATTTATTCAATATTTGCGTGCTGTTGCATTACTTTTTCTATTTTATTAAATTTTTTTACTTTTTGTAGGCTGTGAGGCTTATGACAGCAGGGATTAGTGTATTTTTATGTCAATAGTTCTTTATTGTACAAAAAAAAGGGTAAAAAACGGTAAAGAGATAAAATTACATCGCATACAGTATATATTCTAGTACAGTGTATATATATACTATATTGCTAAAAGTACACTATATTGCCGGCCTTTCCACGCACATGACCTTTAATGTCCCCCCAGTCTTATTCTTAGGGTTCAATATTGAGTTGGCCCCGCCCTTTCCACACACATGACCATTAATGGCCCCCAGTCTTAGTCCGTAGGGATCAATATTGAGTTGGCCCACCTTTTCCACACATATGACCTTTAATGGCCTCCCAGTCTTAGTCTGTAGGGTTCAATTTTGAGTTGGCCCCGCCTTTTCCACGCATATGACCTTTAATGGCCTCCCAGTCTTAGTCTGTAGGGTTCAATTTTGAGTTGGCCCCGCCTTTTCCACGCACATGACCTTTAATGGCCCCCCAGTCTTAGTCCGTAGGGTTCAATATTGAGTTGGCCCCGCCCTTTGCAGCTATAACATCTTCAACTCTTCTGGGAAGGCCGTCCACAAGGTTTAGGAGGGTGTCTATGGGAAGGTTGGACCATTCTTCCAGAAGCACATTTGTCAGGTCAGGCACTGATGTCGGGGGAGGAGGCCTGGCTCACAGTCTCCGCTCTAATTCATCCCAAAGGTGTTCTATGGGGTTGAGGTCAGGACTCTGTGCAGGACAGTCAAGTTCCTCCACTCCAAACTGGCTCCTCCATGTCTTTATGGACCTTGCTTTGTGCACTGGTGGGCAGTCATGTTGGAACAGGAAGGGGCCATCCCCAAACTCTTCCCACAAAGTTGGGAGCATGAAATTGTCCAAAATGTCGCCTTAAATGTTCCCTTCACTGAAACTAGGGGGCCAAGCCCAACCCCTGAAAAGCAACCCCACACCATAATCCCCCCTCCATCAAACTTTACACTTGGCACAATGCAGTCAGGCAAGTACCGTTGTCCTGGCCACTGCCTAACCCAGACATGGCCATCGGATTGCCAGACAGAGAAGCGTGATTGGTCACTCCAGAGAACGCGTCTCCACTGCTCTAGAGTCCAGTGGCGGCGTGCTTTACACCACGGCATCCAACGCTTTGCATGGCACTTAGTGATGGAAGGCTTGGATGCAGCTGCTCGGCCATGGAAACCCATTCCATGAAGCTCTCTACGGACTGTTGTTGGGCTCATCTGAAGGCCACACCAAGTTTGGAGGTCTTTATCTATTGACTCTGCAGACAGTTGGCGACTTCTGCGCACTGTGCGCTTCAGCATGCGCTGACCCCGCTCTGTCATGTGACGTGGCCTACCACTTGGTGGATGAGTTGCTGTTGTTCCCAGTTGCTTCCACTTTGTTATGTAACCCATTGAAATGTTATTACTTGCAATTAGATGGCAGTGGCCTTCTATTCACGGTTGCTCACATTAATAGAACAACCCTCTGGAACTTGTATTTCTGAGCAGCAGGACTAAGCTGATAAGCAGAGTGCTTGGGACTACATTTCCCAGGAGAGGTAGTGTGACGGGAGTCACTTTGGGGGGGGGGGGCCATGGAACTCAGCTCACTTCAGAGAGGTGGGGAGACCCCTGTCTCAGCTCCCCATATCCCTATTATGTGTAAGTCACCCCCTGTGACTGCTAAGGGTACAGGGTGATCTGTCCTAATATTGGGGTGGGGGGTTGTTGATTATTTAATGTCATGTGGTTGCATCCCATTGTTCTATTGTTTGTCTGGCTTGGGAGCAAACTATTATGGGATGTATGTGTTCATGTGTATTAGCTTAGTGGGAGGTGTCTGCAGCAGCCCTCCCTCCTGATGGGACTGTCTGCTGGTGTGAAGTTTGAATACCTGTGTGTCTTGTTGCTAAGTGTAGATTGCCCCGCCCTGTGTCATTATGCAGGGAGGGGGATTGTCCCCTGTGTGTTCCATGTTCAGACATGTCTAGTCTTGTGTGGTCGGCTGTGGTGTCTGTGGTCGGTGTTCCGACAGGGAAGCGGTATTATAACGGAAGTACCCAAGCACAGACTTGGTCGGTTCCGTTACAGGTAGCATGTGGGCGGGGGCATATAAATATAAAGCTCAGGAGATTGACCAGAAAAGTGCGGAGGGAGATTGAAGGAGAAGGAGGTGTGCTGACGGCTGAAGTGCTGAACTAGGTTGGGGAGCCAGGATTGGAGAGAGAGTGTAACGGACCGCCTGACAGTACCTCTATCAGTCCCCTGATAGAGCCTCCCCAGAATGCGGAGTCTAAGTACCGGAGCACTTGTTCACCAGGGCCCCTGATGGTGGGGATGGACTTGGAGCGCTCCGGGACCAGGTCGCAGCTGCTAGGTATCTCTACCAGAGGTAGAGGAGTCTGCCAAGGGCTCCAGCGGGTTAAGAGTCTGATGTGAGGGAGCCCAGGGATCCCTGAGGGATGGATGGATGGATGAGCAAAGTCAGAGTCAAACAAGCTGGGTCGGTAACTAGCGGATCGGTGAGGTACAAGACGATATGCAAAGGATAGTCGGGTCACACGCAGGGTCAATACCAAAAGATCAGATCTATAAGGGAACATCCAGGAGCAGAGTCAGGCAAGCCAAGGGGTCAGGACAGGAGAAGGCAACAAGGTCAGACAATCCAAATCAGAAGTACTCACACACAGGTAACAGGATACAAAAGACCATTCGGCAACAAGCATCTGTGCAGGGCTGGCTTAAGTAGCCCGCCCTGCACCTGACAGTCGCCGCCTAGGTCCCAGTGCCTGCCTAGTACTGTCAAGACGACGGATGCGCCTGGGTCCTAGTGCCCTGCTACCTGTACGTCTTGACAGATGCCTACGCATGTGTAGACCCATGCGTCGCGAAGGTCCCTGACAGAGAGAGAGCGGAAAGAATCCACTAACTGCCCTGCTTGCCACACTGCCAAGTAGGCCACTCTGACAGTAGGAGACAGAGCAGAACGCCAAGTCTGAACCAGACTGCCCATGGACTGTATCCCTATCTATTGGGAAATATGGATCACGGCAATCCACTGAACGACGTTGACTGGGCGAGAGAGACCCAAGTGAACAGAGTGAACGTTGATAGTTCGCCAATTCAGTTATCTGCTTGCATATAGTTGTGATCATGACATGCAGTTGCCCCAGTTGTGGCCTCATTGACTTCAATGGGCTTCAGATCCAGCACCCAAACATCAGTAAAATTCACCAAATCCGCCTTGAACCCAACCCAGGTATGTTCA